GGTCATGGTGCAGGACTATCTTTTTGGAATCGAGCGTTATAATGTAAAAGGTCTCCACATATTGTATCCCATATGTATACTTTTAGGGCACCCCACGGCCGGCCCCTTACCACCCAAGGCGTGAAATAAATAAGGCAACAAGGCTGTTGTGTTGTGCCAGACCTCAGCGACAAGCAATAGGCATTATGAGTTTCACATGCTAATTTGCATATACCTCTCATTTGCATATTACTATCACGTTGACGACAGAGATGTTTCATTTCTCAAGTAATCCCTTAGGGTATAACTGGTGGAAATACATCTATTGTCACAGTGAATAACCCGCACCAGCCACGTACATCGTTTTGTCAATGACAGACTATGCGTCTATTTTTGTCACAAAAGAAAGAGAAAACAGAACGCTGCGAGAATTGACTAGTTTCGATTGTATGGATAGGACGCCCTCGTCTCAGTTGTGCGGCCGATATTTGTAGAATCAGATATTGTTATTTATATACATAAAGCTGTAGTATAAATATAACCATGATTCAGATAACTATTCGTGTATTTTTTGTTGACTAAAGGTTTAGATATTATATGGGACCATGGTGATTCAATCCATGCACCATTAACGACCTTGGTGAGATAAAGCAGGCCAAAAAATTAATTCAGCACTGAAAAAGTTTTTTGTAGCGTCTTCACTACATCAGATAGCGGCACATTTGAGCGCCAGCACGTACCTGTCCTGAATCCCGAAAAACATCTATTTTTACGCTCTCATTCTTCTTGCTCATCATATAATCTATGCGCTCTTGTCTTACACGATACATTTCTGTCCAAATTTTCGCCGCGAATAGCTGAAAAATGGCTAATGCGGCGTAAAACAAAATATATTTATTCATTCTCCTCTAAAAATAAAACAAATAATTTTCCTGGTATACTTTCCTGATGCTGATTGTGGAATAGAGCTGGCAAGAGCTGACTAGACTTGCTTTTATCTTGATTGGTTTTAATTTCATAAAGTAGATATATTACACAGTCATGGTGCAGGACTATGCTCACGCCTGAATCCCAAGTACTACCTAACACAAATCTCAAAAGCATTTAGAAAAGAACATATAAAATGGAAATTTCTATGTACGATATTATACTCACTAACAAAAGTTCCTGTGACACCAATATTTTAGTATATGTTTCAAACAAGTAAAGTTTGGTTTTCAATATTGTAGTACATGTATGGAATCAAGTCACAAAAACGCAACTGCTACAAAAAAGCATGCATTCCATGCAAAAGTTGACTTTCATGCAAGCCCCATGCATTTCACTACCCAAGAATGGGTATAAAAACATGTGCGTTAACGGGATTCCATCTGCATTGTTTAGTATCGTGCTGACAGCAACCACTCAGAAAAACATCAAAATTACGCAATTATTCAACATTACAAAATGCCCCGCCTGTCCGAAAATGAGCGTCTGCGAGCCATTGGTATGCTTGAAGCAGGATCGAGTCAACGTGGTGTTGCAAGACAATTTAACGTCCACAGAAACACCATTTGGTGTTTATGGCAACGTTGGCAACAGACGAATGCAGTCAGAGACCATCCTCGGAGTGGCAGGCCACGTGTAACCAATAGCAGACAAGACAACTGGATTCGAACAACACACCTACGAAATCGATTCCAGCCAGCAACAGTGACTGCAAGAAGCATCCCTGGCCTTCGACGAATATCTTCACAAACCGTACGTCGTCGCCTCAGATGTGCAGGGATTGTCGCTAGAAGACCCGCCAGACGTCCCATTTTGACAGGAAACCACCGTCAAGCACGTCTACAGTGGTGCATACAGCGTCTACGCTGGATGCCCACGTAGTGGGGACAAGTTCTATTCACTGACGAGTCTCGTTTTCACCTCAGCCACAGCGATGGACGGATTCGAGTGTACCGACGTCGAGTTGAACGTTACGTCAATCATTGTGTCATGGAAGAAGATCGGTTTGGGGGCGGCAGCGTTATGGTATGGGGTGGGATTACAGCAAGACAGAGGACCCGTTTGATAGTGGACAGCGCTACCGCGACGAGATCATCGGCCCTGTTGTTCTACCGTTTTTGCGTCGTCATGGCCCAGGCATTACCTTTCAACATGACAACGCCCGGCCTCATATTGCTTGACTTGTTCAGGATCCTCTTCAACAAAACAATGTGGCCGTCTCGCTCCCCTGATCTCTCACCAATCGAGCACATGTGGGATGAGATGGATCGGCGCCTTCGACGTCAACCACGTGTTTCACAGACACTCCAGGAACTTCGAAACATGCTCCAGCAGATATGGACAGATATCCCACAGGACTTTCTGCCACGCCGTTCCATTCCATGTGATGAAGATGTGTTGCTTGCATCGCAACCAGAGGTGGACACACACGCTATTGATTTGTAAATTGACATTTTGGCATGTTCATGTTTTCTTTTATGAAATCACGCACTTTCAGGACACTTACAGGAGTCTTTTAGCTGTTGCAAACCGACATTGTTTCAGATTTGGTAAAAAACATAACTTTGCATTAAATCTTATTGAATGTCACAGGAACTTTTGTTGTTCAGTATATTTATTTTTTAGATGTTGAATCTGTGTACCAAATACGATTATATTTGTGTTCCGTGATCCACACTACTGAGTCCCGAATACCCTCCACACAGACCCCGAATGTCGTTTAAAAAGAGCCTGGCAGCCTCACACTTCACGTTTCTCTAAACATGTATCGATTGTAGGTGTTATGTTGATGACTGGTTTCATAAATAAACAACAACAATACAACTAACACTCGTTTGGCTTTTCAACATCAGAACACGACCACCAAATATAAATATCCGCGGATTGATGCGCTCAAACAAGTGTGTTAAGTCGTGAGGTCGAAAGGCGCCGTGTGAATTCTGTACGAGGCAAGTGCGTCTGGGTCACACACCACCGCGGCTGTGTCAACGTGGTATGCAATGCAAAATAACAGGCGGCTTCCTGGAAGCGTTCCCTTTCATAGAAGCCAGTATCGACTCGGGATCACACAGGCGAGGGTGTATGTAGGACACCCGCCATTACACGTATTACCGAACTGCCGTTTCCCGGAATCCCTCTATTCTCAGCACAGTCTGAATACAGGTATTTTGAATGGCTTTGCTTGTCACAACAATAATCAATACGTCATACGTGATACATTTTGTTATTTTTAGCTGTGGGCAATCTGATTCAGGCACTTCCCAAGGTCGATGTTGTGTTTGTTAATACTGTGTCGTCATCTGGGGGTATTATCCATGGTGGAATTTATAGTGAGGTATTACTGTACGGGAATACTGCGTACCGGTTCTCACTGCTTGCTGCGAGACCAGAGACATGTGAGATCTTTTTGACATTTCACACATGTAAATAAACCTTTTCCAATTTTGGCAATAACTTAAATTGTTACCACAACACTTTGACACAAGTCTTGTTTGTTTGTTTGTTTGTTTGTTGTTAAACGCCACACTCAGCAATGTTCCAGCTATATGACGGCGGTCTGTAAATGATCAAATCCGGACCAGACAATCCAGGGATTGACATCATGAGCATCGATCCACGCAGCTGGGGTACGATGACATGCATCAACCAAGTCAGCGAGCCTCAATTACCACCCGAGCCCGTTAGCCATTAAAATCATATCTTAGTTTACCTACGACTAAACAAAGATCTGAAGATATCTGTTATAAGGTTAAAAATGCATCCCAAAAACATTAGAAAATGGTAACCGTTATAGCTTCAATGAGGAGTTGCATTAGATATAGTTTGTGACAGAACTTTTAGTTTGAAAGGAATCAATAGATAAAAGACATTTCACATTTATCACAAGTGTATTCTGGACATTTCATAATTATCATTGGATTGGTTCCTGGCTATCGTCCATTAGTTAATGAAACAAATAGAGAGTTTCAAGGTATATTTCATTTGGAGCTTCCGGATGCGTGTCACAAAATCAATAGAGAGATGAGCAATCTGGCACGTAGGCTTCTGTATTTTTCCATTTACGACACACATGAGTTCATGGTCAGATCTAACTTGTAACGAATGAAAATGAGGTATTGTGACATGTGACAAGGACAGGCCAGGCTCGAACACTGTAAAATGATATCTTCAACATTAGGAGAGGAGAGCGCGGTTTGCAATCGATCGTGTCGAATCCCGATCGTTCTAAGTTTCCCCAGTTAGTGACGAGTCTGGCCGGTCTGATCCTGTCCTGTATTGATAGATGGGCTGAGAGTAAGTAAAACTATGTGAGCATAAAACTGGTGTTGCGTTTCTTTATTATGCGTGTGGGAATAAGATGCAGTTTCTTTCAGTTCTAAACTGTCTTCTGCACGCATGTTTACATCACGTGACTCAAATATAGTCCCGGCTTACAATGCCTTCGAGTCACCCCAGAAGCCTATTTTCACCGGAAACAGCCGATCGTGTTCAGATCGCAGCCGCAACTGTCTTTCGGAATGCCTCGTGTTAACCTTTTCGAGGTTGCATGATTAGAAAAGACAGTCCCACTGTCGCTTTCCTGATCTGGTAAGTGGGATATGATTATACCGATATGAATTTAACAGGTTGCGTTAGTCGCCTCTGACGACTTGCAATTCTAAGCCGGATTTTCACAGGAGACAACTCCAGTAATAACCGAACCTCTTTAAGAGTAAAATGACGCTACGTGAGGCACACTTAGTATAGAGATGGACTTTATTGTTCTAAAAAAACTTATAAAGTTAATAGAGGGTTAGACACAATCGCTAATCCGAGACTAGCTGTTCACTCGTGTGACATATCTCATTTTTCATACATCGTACAATCTATAAGCCAAAGGCGTTTTGCAATAGGACCAAATCACCAATTTCACTAAATCAATTTCAATAAAAACACAATCAAGTGAAAAATATATTCTATATTGGTTAAAGAAGTACTGGCATACTTCATTATATATATATATATATATATATATATATATATATAATGTCGGTATTTGTGATCTGAATTCAAAATATATAAACTTCATAATAATGTCCAAAAAACGATATAAGCTAAATATAAGCATACAATTATCTAATACAATAGGTTAATGAGAAATAACACTTACACAAGACTCATAAAGGTAATTGTCATTGATCAAATTCATCCGACTCGAAATATTTTGTGTTCGTGAGAGCAACAATGTCCATCAAATAGATACCATTTGGGAGATACATTATTACAAATATATCTTGTTTCCTTTTCTTGGATTTTCCTTTCTCGGATTTTCAACATCGCGACTATCCTACCTACCTGGGTTCCTAAGCAGCCAAAGTGCATACAGAGAATGTCTTGAGACTAATTATGTAATCTGGCATGGGCACAGGACAGCGGGGCATACCCTTCTACAATACCACGTCTAATGGCTTAGATGGCTTCTTATAGTCGTCTTTTTGCTGTATCCGACCTCGTTGTAGCCACAGATAACGGTACATTCCATCACATCTTTCCTATCCTGTGAACTGCACTCATTCTTCAATTTGACCAAAAGTCATTTTAGGGAGCAACCAATGATTGGTTGGGGGGTTGGTTTGAGATCAGAATTCCTTTTTTAATATTTAGGAGCTCAATCATCTTTTCCGTTTTAGTTAGGTGCTAATAATTATTTGTTTTACAAATTTATTTTCCCTTTAGAAAAGATTCCCTCTGAAAATCAGACTGTTGCTTCATTACATGCTTCCTGTCATCAGAACTAGCTACCCCGGGTAAGATGCTTCATTTGTTCAACATGTTTCCTTAACAAAGATAAGGCGGTTACTCTCAACAAGGGTCTCGGATAAGTCTTTGTTCCAGAAATATCCGCCACAGGAAAGATGTGCCTTTTTTTAAAAAAAAAGATCCTAACAGAGAAACTGTTATTTGAAACATTTTTCCAACAGAGTTAATGGATACAATTTACCCTAATATAGCCATTCAACAGCCACTAAGCCTTGCACTAACTGTTTCATCGCTATTAATTACAAACTTTTCATAGGCTTCTTTGACACAGACATTTACGTGACTGTCACACACATTATTCTTTGTACCCTAACTTGGTACAGCACAGGAACAGTGATTATTCCATTAAGAGAGTTACTATTTCTGTTTGGGCAGCAAGGTTCTGAATCGTGTTGAATTTCGCCTTTCATTCGGCATTTGCCGGCCTAATGTTATCAGAATAACTAAAGGACTGGAAGTCCTGCCTCGCATCATCCTGTGCATTCCAATCTGCTGCCTATCATTCGCCATGATACTCTCTATCAGATCAGCTGGCATCTGTAGGGCTCCATTCACCATGGTACCTCCCATCTGACCAGCTGGCATATTTTGTCCTCCATTTAACATGGCACCTCCCATCTGACCAGCTGGCATCTGTTGGCCTCCATTCACCATGGTACCTCCCATCTGACCAGCTGGCATATGTTGGCCTCCATTCACCATGGTACCTTCCATCTCTCGAGCTGGCATCTGTTGTCCTCCATTTAACATGGCACCTCCCATCGGACCAGCTGGCATCTGTTGTCCTCCATTCAACATGGTACCTCCCATCTGACCAGCTTGCATCTGTTGGCCTCCATTCAAAACGACATCTCCCATCTGACAAGCTGGCATCTGTTGGCCTCCATTCAACATGATACTTCCCATCTGATCCGCTGGCATATGTTGGCCTCTATTCACCATGGTTGCTATCAACTGACCAGCCGCTACCTCTTGGCCTCCATTCAACATGATACTTCCCATCTGATCCGCTGGCATATGTTGGCCTCTATTCACCATGGTTGCTATCAACTGACCAGCTGCTACCTCTTGGCCTCCATTCACCATGGTATATCCATTCGGACCAGCTGGCATCTGCTGGCCTCCATTTAATATGACACCTCCCATCTGAGCAGCTGTCATGTCGTGACCTCCATTTGCCATTGTACATCCAATCTGAGCAGCTGCCATATGCTGGCCTCCATACGCCATTGTACATCCCATCTGACCAAGTTGCATCTCTTGGCCTCCAACTGCCATGGTACCGCTAATCTGACCAGCTGTTATCTGTTGCCCAGCAATCGCAATGTTGCCTTCCATCAGACTATTTGGCATGTGTTGTCCAACACTTACCATGGTCCTTCCCATCAAACTAGCTGGCACATGTTGCTGGCTTACTGTATTATTCCTATCCAGACCATGGTTCTGCTGTCGCACACTGTTGTTACTCGCTGCCGTATATATAAGACATGCTGTTGTCGGATGTGCGGGTGCAGATGCCACCTGTGGTCTATCGCTCATCACGCGTTTCTCTGGCAGACAATAATTTATTTTCTGGCCACCATATATCTCATTTTGCCACCCAGGCCCGCCCACAGTCTCCTGTCCAGCATTCATGCTGCTACCAACAGCCAGACCAGCCATCGTTTGCTGTGCAATAGTCAAGCTCTTGTTAGGATTACAACTGTTAAATTGCATCTGCATAGGAGGTCGGCTTGGACCCGTCAGAAGCCCACATTCATCTGGAATCACTGAGGCTGAACATCGACCCATTCCAAATGTGTCCGTCGCCAGAAAGTTCCCCCGCTGTTGATCATGTTGATGATGAGGAGCCACAGAGAACAATGGTTGCTGTCCGCAATGCAAAGGTGATGCTGTCAACGGACTAGTGTCATTGCCTGATACAGTCGGCATCCCAGGCTGCTGATAGCAAACGTTCTTCGATGCGGGTTGTATGGTGGGTGCTATATTTCCAGCTTGTGATACAGTTGTCTGGTTTGCCATTGTCAATGGAGGGAAAGAGACATTTACCTGCTGACAAGGGCCTCCAAACATTGAAGTCGCAGAGAGTCCAGCTCGGTGGTTGGTTAATCCTTGAAGATTATTCTGACAAATACCTAAGTGTTCAGTTTTTGAAGAAATTTTTGCCTTGGTGGAAGCTTGACCTTTCTTCCTTCTTGGAGTAGGTGTTTTCTTGACAGGCTCCTTTTCATTCATCTTCTCAAAGACGATATTTGGAATGCAAGTCTGTGTATGTTCATCACTTAAATCTGCTATTCCACCAGCTGTAGAATCAGGACTTGGGGCATGCAGTAAAGCGTGGACGAAAGTTTCATGATCATCATCATAATTGATGCTACTCACGGACGACCTTGCGGTTGTTTGAGGCCTCGAGCCTTCAGGTTTTGTATACGGCTTTTCCTCGATGGTTTTCCATGCAAACCTGGATCTGTCAGCCCGACCTCTCTCAAGAAGAACTTCAGGACTTTTTAAAGATAGCTTCTTTAGGTTTTCCTCCAGAGGGATCGGACTATCAATCCAAGTTGTTGTATCATTGAAGCTATTGAGAGCTGGGGGATCTTTGATAGCGTCATGGTCGGTTGATATAGTTGCTGTGCCAGCATCTCCACGTGCCATCCTCACGTTAGGAAGCGGTGGAATTGAAGGCTCTGACATTCCAGTTTCCACGGGCCCAATGACACCTGCAATGTATGATATGACTTCGATCAGTTTATCAATCAAACAATTTCAGTTCTTTTAGGACTCATCCTTTGTGTACAAACGTTATGGTACAGGTTGAATAACTGTTAACCGTATATTTCTTCCCATGTTTGTGCTTAGTACCAGAGACAATAAAATATCTATGTTATGGTCTCTGATAGTACAAATATTTTGCTAAATTAATAATAATGTTAGAATTTGGCTACAAGAGCAGGATATGGTTATCTTTTTCGCAAACACCTCGTGTCATAACTGAATTTCAGTGATCAATTCATATAATTTTCGCCTTTATTTTGCCTTTGCGCCCTATTGAATCTGATCCGCTGGATAATCAAGACTAGTTATTCTCTGGCGTTGACGTTTTATATTTACCGACCCAATATATTATACCCCTATTTGACAATGTCCAACCTGGCCACACCTGCTTTAATAATGGGACAGCCTGTCAATTATTTTAACATGATTTATATTTTTTATTTATTTATATAGTTATTTTGTTATTTTAATTGTGTGACACCGTACCCAGACAACGTGGATCATTCTTCCAGTTATCAATCACTGGTTTGTCTGAACCAAATTGGTTACTTACAGGCCGTAATCACATCGCTGAAATATTAACTACTGCAGCATAAACGTTACTCACTCACTCACTCACTCACGCGAAAAACAACATTCATTCAATCACCCACAAACTCGATGAAGTGTATGAACTAGGGTATTACCACACTAGTCCAAACCATTGACGTTCAAAAAGCGATAATTGAAAATGATGAAACGGGAACACACAAAAGAAAACAACAAACCTCAAACTATTTGTCATTTCGACAACAAAAGCGAAAGTCATTTTCGAACTGGCTAGGTATTGCAGTCACAAACATTAAATAGTACTGGATTTTATTGAAAATGTTTAGTATTGTCATGGTGATATAGATTGCCCTTGGTCAGTTCTAGTCGCCTACAGCTGTAACCACACATACTTGTATGCGTGTATAAATACCACCTCACAGGGCTGTGTGGAAAGAAAAATCCCGGAAATAGCGCATACTATCATCACAGAATTAGACCTACGTCATGTCCTTCCCAAAGTTGCACAACGCTGGTGATCTCAAGGGACCGTATAAGAAATTAAACAGCGATTAATTATTAACATTCGTTAACAATACGAGTCGGATCTGTCTCTCCGTTTTTCAAGATACACTTTTATGGTATAAAGTGCCCTTGTTATTTCTTTTATGGTGATATCAAAACAAATTGTTTTTTCTTGATTATAACAATTGCATGTTGCATCACGTTTACACACATACGACATACCATGAAGATCCCAATTCTATGAATTAATAAACTGTGAATTATTCCTGAAAATAGAAGCGACAAAACCCTTTACATAATCTTAAGAAATCTCTGCTATCTCGACTATATCAAAATAATAAAAGCGACAAAACCCTTTCCGTAATCTTAAATAATCTTTGCTATCTCGACTATATTAAAATAATAAAAGCGGCATAACCCTTTCCACAACTACAATAAAACCTTGTTTATAAATCATTATCAAACAGTGATGATACTAAGTGTTTGCGAAAAGGTGAGCGTATCCCGCCCTACTGGATTCACCCGTTAAAATCACATGCACAGGCAGGGTAAAACAAAGAGTATCTTCAATGAGCATCATCCTTCTCAGGGAATCGAACCCAGTGCTTCATGACAAGCTAACGCCCATACCACTATGCCAGACGTATACAGATACATATTCTCATACGCTATCGTGACAGGTACTGTGAGTAAGTGAGTATGGTATTACGCCGCTTTTAGCAATATTCCAGCAATATCACAACAAAAAAGTAAAGAAATGTACTCACACATTGTACCCATGTCGGGACATATAACACTCCATAGGCGAATATCCCGATAAATGTATACTGTACACTTACTTGTCTAATTATATCGAAAGATAAATCGTGGTAGAGGGCCGGAAGATATATCGATCAGAGATAAGAGAGAAGAGTAAAGCCACGTATGAACTACTTCAACGTGATATGTTACTGCAGGATATTAATGTCACAGGAAATAGAGATGTGCAGTGTGGAAATTAGAAACAGCAGTCTTTTATATTCTCAGACAAATTCGTGTTGATGGAATATGACCATACCTTCTATACGTTTTCAGAATCCGGTCATCCTTGTTGGATTCAGTGATCCCAAGTTGGAATACCAGAGCTAGACATCGCCCGCGGAGCGACATCCACATTGTGAAAGCAGTTTAACTACACAGCCGACCATGTTGTCTTCGTGGGAATTCCCTCGGCATTATCGAGTTCTATGAATAGACAAGCGTTTGTCGTGAAGGCCGTCGTGTCATAACTAAGCAATACACACTAAATGAAGTATTATCATTGAATATTTCCATATAGCTGGTTACATATAGTCCAAACTAAAATCACAAATTGAATTCAGCTAAAAATACGATAAGTAAAAGCGACAAAATGCTTTCCATGTTCATAAGAAATACTGTCTACAGGAAGAAATCGATTTACTCGATATAACGCGCATACACCAGGATATCTTCCCCTGGGTGTGACGGATAGTTGATGCCTGGTTTTTCTTGTTGAATTATCCATAATAAACTTGTGCAAATGTCATATTTTGCAATAAACATCGTTAAAGGCCTCATACTCACCATTCGAAAAGATACGGTTATTTGTGACAATGCAATCTTCTTTTATAATAGAGAATCATATTAATTAAATTAAATTAAATTAAATCTTATTAATTTGAGTTATGAACATTTACTCTTAAAATTAATTCAGGTGATAGTAAAAAACTTCTTCACCTTGATTTTCACACGGCAGCATGGGCGGATACAGCATTTTAGAAATGTGGAGAGGGGGATGGAGGGTTCCAAAATATCAAACTGCTCTCTCAGTGGGGGGAAGAATTGTCTACAATATGCTTCATTTGATTTGGACCCCTGGATTACCTCGCTATGGGAAAAAACATTTTGTTAAATGAATGAGTGTGTGCTATGACCTGATCTTAAAATCGTCGGTTTGAAATGAAATTTCCGAAAACTCCCGAAAATCAGAAAACACGTATCTTCCAATTATATAACGTTTCATGAAACGTTTGTTTGATATGATGCAAGTTAAGCTTCATGTTCTTGCTTAATTAGCCTGTCATGACGCACCCGTGTCCTTTCATGAAACGGAAGATTAAGTGTTTATTGTGTATATTAGACAACATTGCAGTTATTAAATACGATAATTCTTCATTTGTACTTTACTTCCGACATGATCGTGTTAATCATTAGGTGAAGGGAAAGTCTTACTTCAACAAGACTGAGCATGTTTCTCAACACAACATATAATTTCACCACCACTGGCCATATGAGGAAATGCGAAGACTGACGTAAAGGTGCATCTTTTTTTGTTTTGCGAAATAAATGTAATTGGAGAGATTACTTTAATGTGATGTTTTAATGTTTTGGACCAGGGTTGTAAGGGGGGGGGGGGGGGGGGGGGGGGGGGGGGGCGGACGGTAGGATTGCGCCCTAACCGCCAGGATAGGGAGATGAGAATGATAACTAGTAAGTATAAAAACGTATGAGTAACGGTGAACAAATAAAACCGCATTTCAACAGATAACAGTAGCTCAATACCTGCGGTAGAATAGAATAGAATAGAATAGAATAGAAACTCTTCCTCTTTAAGCTTATAGCATACAAAACTATTGTTTTGGTTATTCTGAGAAATCAACATGCAATGTACATATTCATCGCATCCATCTGTTCACACTCTGACAGTGATGTTTGCCAACCAGACGCCACTCAATGACAGACTCTAACAACACGGGACACACGTTGAACGTCATACTCTTTGCAGTGCCGTCAGGTGGCGCTCGCTACGTAAGTTTTGCCCTTTGCACCCAATGGAGGCTGTTTTTTTCTGGCGTTTACCTTTTATCTATTTTTACTCTTCTTGTCAATACAAACGTTGTGATACTCTCTGTGCTGCAAGATGTTTTAATATAATTTCTTTTGAATTTAAGTTACATGTGATACGGGTAAACAAATCCCAGGTTGTAATACCCTGCATATTGCGTCAAAATCAGCATGTTTATTGGCTGGAAATACAGTTCTCAAAATAGATGTGACGAATCGAAACTGTCTGGACATGTGACAGTGTTGAGACAACACATATCTCAAACAGGTGTTGGTAATCCTGTTCCATGTATCCCTAGCGTGAAATATAAATATATATCTGGTGAACGTAAAACGCCCTTTTGAACAATAAAGTGTACCTAAGAATATCTTCTATGAGAGTAAAAACGATCTTGTACTCAACCCTCGTTAACCCGTTCCGTTCCTTGTATAATTGTCTGGATTAACGAATCATCAAATGGAGCATGGTTTCTTCCGTAACATGTCGTGAGTAAGTGAATATTTTTTTACGCATCTTCCCGAGGCAAGAGAGTTAACTGACTTTAAAACTCCAGTTTCCACCCTTGCTGAACTAGGCTGGAATTCCTAGGCTCGATCGTAGCGCCACCAGTGGCTATTACCGGTTATGTCCCTTCTCGGCCTCTGCTATGGACCAATCCGATTCCATCACTTACATTTGTTTCAAACAAAATGGCGGCGCCCATTCAAGACGATCTGATCCATCATCAAGATCTATATGGTGATAAAACGGGTCTTACATCGCGAGGTACATCAAATCACGCGAGCAACTTGATTAAAAACCTGAAAAGGTTTGGAAAATATCTGTTGACAACGAGTTGGCGGTGCAATTGCTTTGCAAATCCTGCAATGGACCGAAATCTGCACGACAGTTTTACGAACCGGATTTCGATTTCGTTGCGCGATTTTGATTGGACTATAGCCTAGTTCGGCAAGGGTGGAAAGTGGACTTTTATAGTCAGTTAACTCCCTTGCCTCGGGAAGATGGGTTTTACGCCGCTTTTAGCAATATTCCAGCAATATCATGGCGGGGGACACCAGAAATGGGCTTCACCCATTGTACCCATGTCGGGAATCAAACCCGGGTCTTCGGCGTGACGAGCGAACGCTTTAACCACTAGGCTACCCGACCGCCCCTGGTAACATGTAAATTTTCGCAACAAGATGGTCTGGAAGTTACGTTTTCCGGGCTAACAAGGTATCTTACATCACACATCACAAGTATATTATCTGAAACAACCGTTCTGAAATCTGAATTTTTTTACTTTTTCTCCTACCTTAAACCTACAAATGTCTTGACCGAACACGGAAGTCCTTAATAGCTTAAGAAAACAGTAATAAAGAATTGGTTTGTGTATGAAGTAATCCTTGTAGTTTACAATAAAGATGTATTCTTCCATGTATTTGGAAAGTACTCACTTCTGAGGTATCAAATCAAAGTTACCACCTCGAACTGAAACAGACGATTTGGTGGCTGCACCAGTACGAAGATACTATTCATAGACATGTACTTCTGTGTCAGTTATTGTCGGTAGGCATTTTAAAATAATTATATGTATAAATATAGGTTATAAAATGCAGATATGCGGTTACCACGATATCAAACTGTGTGGCAATATACATTTTGGGCAGAAAACACGATAGTAATTGAAAGAGAGTGAATAACTTGTTGTAGGGGCCATAGAGAGCTTTGAGTCTAGAACAGTCGCAATGTATACCCGACCTCGATGTTCTCATTGGGCGCTGTAGGGGAAGGTGGCCCAGTCGTCTCAGGCGCCTCATGATCGTGGGTTCGAATCCTGGTTCGCCCCGATCATGTTTCTAGGTTTGTCAGCACCACACCCGTGACGATGGGTTTCACCAATATGTCACTTCGGGCTTTCCTCCGACATCAAGCTGATGCGCCGTGATGTTACTGGAATACTATTCAAACGGCGTTAAACCCAACTCACTCACTCACGGGGTGGTGGGTGTAGCCTAGTGGTTAAAGTGTACTCCCGTCGGTTCGACTCCTCTCATGGGCATAATATATAAAGCCAATTTCTGGTGTATCCCGCCGTGGTGTAGCTGGAATATTGCTAAAAGCGTAAATTCAAGCTCACTCACTCACTTACTCACTCACTCCAACCTCTCGTCACCTCATTCATTACAATGTCCCGTTTGTCCTTGAAGAATCCTTAAAATGGCCTACAATCAGAACTTCGTCTGTATTGTGTTTTCCCATACATAACAGGTTACGCTGGATGTCCAACGATCGAGTCACTTCCTTGAATGCTTCTTTGTGAGCCTGGTAATTCCTTCATCTATAAACCTCTTTAGTATAAGGTAGCTATTCATCGGTTAAAACGCACACTTGTAATGCGTCCTTCACAAGCATGCTAGTGCACTACTGTATGACAGAGAGAGTGCACAGCATACACAAGTGCTGTGTGCTCAGCGAACAGCGAGGCCATGCTGCTTGAATTTCCACGAACGCTCGTGGTTCTTGGAAATGTTTCATTTCTGCGAGGGCTCAGTAAATCTATAAGCCGTTTCCTTGAATATTACATGTTTATAGCTCCATGCACAGCTCCATGTTGAGATGAATTAAAATAAAAAATTAAAGACATTTACAAAGATATTTTCTTTATTTCGGACAAAACGTCATATACATATTTAATATACATGTATTATATACATTAATGTTATAAATACATACCAGAGAGAGAAAAAGAAAACAAATATTCGCGCAGAAAATTGAATTTTCAACATAAAACAACTGTACAGCCATGGTCCTTCGAATTCAATGTCCACGACCAGCGAAAGGAATTCACCAAACTCGGTTTCTCTGATTTTCATAACATCACCGCCAAGATCTGCGGTATTAGGTCTTAGCAAATTGTCCTAAGATAAACTGTCATATTAAGTCATATAACGTTACCAACAAGACAATATCTGCTGAATGACTCACATCTGTACCAGATACTTCAGGATATTTCTTTTCATTGGAACGATGATGCAAAGATTGAGCTGGACCACTTTAAACACCGGCCGAGTGTCATCACATGACTACCAGCTTTCACACCAAGGGTTATACCGTAATCTTGGTTAACATCCCTGGAACTCCACAACATTCACCTATAACCTTCGTCACCAGATCACACCGAAGCAACATATTGAAGATCATCATCAGTTTCAAACCATTCATTTTCCATTTATCCCTTCAAGTTGGTTTCGGGACTATCTTCTGTAATCTCGAAGTTGGTTCGGTCGGGGAACGTACTGGCCTCACAGGTTGAAATGGGAAGGCAAATAGCTGATAACTGGTCGCGCCTAAGCTGCCAGCCGTTGTCAACTTGTATTGGCCAGAAGACGGCACCAAGGGCCTTAACCCAGCATTAGCCATCATTGTTGGTCGGCTGGGGAACATCTGATGTTGACTGGTGCCATACGACATCGTCGCGGTAGAGGCGAGAGGTGGTATTCCTGGCTGTTGATGCAAAACCTGAACATCTGGAGCGACATGCTGCACATCATTATTGCCCCAAGGGGTTGCACAAAGGTGGTGAGGGGAACTCTGTATTGCAATTTGCGCAACCTGTTGCACATCAATGTTGGTATCCTGATTAAGATATATCGTGGTTGCAGGTTGTTGTGGAGCTTGGGGAAGACAAAGTTGACGACTCTGTACTGATGGGGGCGCTTGTAGAACAGAATGTGGACTTTGGGAAAAAACTGGAAGCTGCTGAACAGGATGGGCCGGGTCAGAATGCATTGGCACACATGCGGTCTGGGTGTCCGATGCATGTAGCCATTGCTGCATCACTTCTTGGTGAGTCTGTGTGACCGGTGTACCATTTGGTGGATTATTGCTAAGCTCATTAGCAATTAAGTGCATTGCATCCATCAGGAGATTGGATGATTCAATTGGTGTTGCAGAAACAAGACCTTGGCTCAACATTGGTGTAATAGGGGGTGGCGTTTGTTGGACAGAAGATTGACATTCCGACTTTGTTGCTACTTTACGTGGGGTCGGGGTGCCCCTTTTCTTTCTAGAGGTTCTCTTCTTATTTTTCTTGGGGTCCGTTTCTGATTCATTTATTTTTTCCTCAACCACAGTTGGTATTGTAGATTGCATGGGGGCCTGACTACCAGACATGTTCATAGAATCATCAGGTCTGGGGATGTTCGCTGTACTGGATGATGGAAAGATCAAAGCACAGGGTGTCGTTGTCATTGTTGTCAGAGCTGGATCAGAAGTAGGGGAATTAAATACATTAGCACACTGCTGAGTTGGTACATGGGAGTTGATGATCCTACCACTACTATCAAGACCAGCTCGACCAGGGCTGGCCATGGAGCCTGTCAAATGTTGAGCCGACACGCAGGAATCGTTTCCATTAAATAATTTGAGGCTGCTCGTATCTTGAGGCTCGAGCGTGTCCAGCCAATCATCTACATAATTCTGATCAAAAGCTTCTGGAGGTGACGAATGCTGGGATCCGTCATAACTGGCAGGGGACGTCTCGAGTAACATCTTCAATTCATCATCTTGTTCCTTGGTGACAATATGAGGCGAAGTAGACTGTCTGTCATATGGTTTGCCCTGATGACGGGACTGTAAAGTATGTTCCCTTGTTGGTCCCCTCGCTACAAGTTGATCCTGGCTGTCTCTTGGTGGAGAAGGATCACTGATTGAACATATTCCATCAGAGTCAATGTCACTCTCAACGTCACTCACATTTCCATCGGATTCCAGGGAGCTCTCAGACAAGCGTTCACTTCCCTTAGCACCACACTCATTGGACTGAGCATCAAGAGATGTATCTGAAGACTCTGTTTCAGGCACCCGAAGCTGTGTTGCACTCACAAGAGAACTGTGTGGCATGCCTTCAGGGTCATCTTCGTCTTTGACATCCAATCTGGACAACGCTTCATCTAGCCTCTTCACATTCTCATCATCCCCATTGTCAGTTCCAGAGGATGGTTCAGACCCTGCCTCCTCTTTGAGAATGATGTTTTCTCCCTTCACAGCTCCAACAGGGGCTGTCTGCTGTAGGCGTGGCATGTCGCCTGGCACAGACTCTCCAGTTTCAGACGGCGGCAGACAGTGTCCAGGATCGACCCCAAGGTTAGCTCTTCTCTGGCTTCCGTCCTCATCGATCCTATCGTCCTCCGTGTCCTTCTTTCTTCTCTCATCCGAGGACACAACAACGGGTATGGCCTCTACATCACTGTCTTTTGGGTGTGTCATTCTCAATTTGAATGAAGGTGTATCCGTCACTCTGAAACACAAACCAATTATTAAGAAATGTGTACATGAATCATGGGTCGGACATATACCGATAAACAGCAAGAAAACTAACTGCGCAATAGACATTAATGTGGGGACCAATGGCCATTGAGTGTACGCGTGCCTCGGTATTTGTGTTTATGTTTGTTTACCTCTGAACTGCCCACTACAACATCACTACCCACTACAACATACTTGAACATATTTCCCTGGATCACACGTCTGGATGCGGGGAGAATGAACATAAAATACTGATCCATTGATCACGTGGCATCCAAACTTAGACACACGTAGGCAAGGTCCCAAGGTTTCGAGACCTCTTCATACGTGTGATTATTACCTTGCATTACGTGGATCAAAATATACATGGCAGTTTCAATTCGAAAGGCGGCATACCGCTGACGACACAAAACAGTAAAAGCATCCGACATTTCAATCAAAATGACTGCCACGTGACCAGATGTGTTTTTTATGTGTTATATCTATATGTTGTTATGTTTTTATCATATGCGTAGACATGCGCAGATATACAGATATAAACTATTTCCAGCCCAGTTCCTACCGTTATCTATTGAGTCATATCAATATGTCTTACAGCATTGAGCTGCATATATCAATTCGCTTCGATATGTATGTTGCACGTTAGACTAAACTGCCGGACAAAAGAAAGTATTTGGTTGCTAAAATTAACAAACACAACCCAAGATATGTTTATTTGATGGTGATGTATTTGATACAGGTATCATAGACGATATTGGACATTAAGTTTGGTGTGTTTCTACAGCCTTGTAACTTGTTGATAACGTTGGGAATTCTTGCTCAAATTAAATTTCCAATTGGATGCTATATTTTGTTTGGGTCCCTCGCAGTAACATTGGTGAATGATATTCAAAACGATGTCAAAATGTACTCTCGTACTCTCAGTTGAGATTGATCACCAGTGCGTGAAAATTATTCGATTGTAAATCGATCAGCAATTTAGCTCAACATGATATTCATGAACACGTGATCAGACTTAAACGTGGTTCAGAGATGCACATAACACTACGTCATCACTACGTTTGGTTATCTCGATTAAAGGTTGCATACTTCGCGGAAGGCAAATAAAATACTTAATTTAAAAAAAATATATATATCGATTTCACATCAGATTATTAACTATTTTGTGAGTACCTAACCTTGGATTAACGCCGAGCTATATTTCAGTTATTAAAACAAAAGAACTCCGTGCCTTAGTAAGGAATCTCTGCCACATCCCGGCGTGTCAGCTTGAGATTGGAGGAAAGACCAAAGTGTTTATTTGCTTATGCTTATAATCCTAAACACACCGTTTGTATGTGAAGCTTATTATGTATATAACCCTAAACAGTTCGTGTTCATTTTGATTATTTGTGCATATAACCCTAAACATCGCATTTATATCTTGTTTTTATATTTATATTTATATATATTTCACATTTATTCATATAACTTTACATAGCTTATTTGCTTATTATGTGTGTTCTTTCATTATATATCCAAACCAAATCATTTATTAATTTTGTATGTTGATGCATGTAACCCCAAACAGTTCATTTATCTATTTTTTCATTTTTTTGTATATATAACTCTACATAGCTAATTTACTGATTATGTTTATTTAAGTATTAATTATTTAAAACAGATCATTTATTAATGTTGTATATTTATGTATGGAACAACAACAGCTCATTTAATTATTATATCTATTTTAGGTATGTAACACCAAACAGTTCGTGTATTTTTTATTTTTTTATATAATCCAAAACAATTAATTTATTAATTTTGTATTTTTATGTATGTAACTACAACAGCTCATATAATCATTGTCTGTTTTATGTATGTAACACCAAACAGTTCGTGTATTTATGTTTCATGTACACAATCCAAAGCAGCTCATTTATTCATTTTGTATACTTATGTATGTACTTACAACATTTCATATAATTATGTATTTTTTATGTATGGAACACCAAAAATTTAATGTATTTATTTTTATTTATTTGTGACACGAAACAGCTGACAAAAATGCAAATTACTTAAAAGAAAACACACATACCCCTGAATTTCCAATCAACTGATCAGCCAAACGGGTGACACAATGGAAGGGCACCCATAATTAGGAGCGCCTGTATTCCCTAATCATCACTATACAGCACTGTTTGAAAATACTTTCTCACTGCAAAAGGCACATTTTATACTCAAATATCGCTTAAATCAACATGATGTTGCAAACAAAATTAGATTAACACATGACAACAATATTTATTTTTAAATGTCATAATGAGATTGCTGTTTGTTGAAAGTTATAATATTAATATTTCACCACCAGGATGTAATCACGAACAAGATCCGCAATGAACGTTTTGTGGGTAAGCTGCACCGGAGGCGTAACTGCAATTCTGCCATGAACACGGTACAACCTCGATATCCAGTTACACGGCGAGGGAAGTAGCTTTTTAAATCGGAATACTATACAATGGAGACTGAAGTTAATACTGCTTAAACACATTTCAGCTGTCCTGTAATGTTAGTTCCGCGATATAAATCCTTTGTGTATTTCAGCGTATGCACCCTTGTGCAAAAGAGATAAACGATTTGTAACATTGATAAACGATTTGTAATTTATTTATTTTACGTATATTTTTGCATGTAATAAATTTTGGTGACCTGTCTTTTCTGAACATGCCCCTCCCCCCCCCCCCCCCCCCAAAAAAAAAAAAGAAAAAAGAAGAAATTAATTAATCGATAATTTTTTTTAATGTAATACAAATAATAATACCCCACCCGCACGACCCCCCAATAATAATTGAATACATGACCTATAAGGATAGGACAACATACAGATCAAAGTAAAAACCCATTTAACACAACCAATTGAACTCTGCAAGTTTAACTTGCGTCACCAACCCGCCTTCAAATTGTTCCATAATACCAAGTTCGTGCTGAACGCTGTACACGATACAATAGCTACGTTATTCGGCTGTTTTCTGTGCCAGGATGGCCTATGAACTAACATACGTCACTGCTTTAGACATACAAAGATATAGATTAATATACCTGTATACTACTACTCACCTATATACAGCACCAGCTAGGTGATTTTTCTGTGTTGGCGGAAGAAACAACTTTATGATCTGGTCCCACACAGGAATTCTCCACTCTCTGAGTCACAACCTCAGCTTTGGATTCCAAGTCTCTAAATTGAACTGACATTAGGCAAGCACATTTAAATACACACCGTCTCACTGGTTTGTAAACCTAAGTCCAAATTTAGACTATTCGATCATATATAAGAACAAGCTTCGTGTAGTTCATTGACTAAGCTCGGCGTACAATCTTCGGCGAACCTAGTTTCGTTTTGCAGTACTCGGAAGTAGGATATAAATAGCATGTGCATTCGGAAGATATCGTGTTAGAACGTGAACGATCGGAACGGGATAACAAGTGTACGCTATGCAGACGGCTCGCGAGTGCAGCGCTGAATGTAATCTGAGATGGTGCACTCTATTTGCGGTTCAAATTCGCAGTTGTGCTATCTGAAATAATTCTGAGAAACGAACCGAGTATGGGTTTTGTATTTGGGAAATTGTGTCAATACATTTAAGGCATCTGTTTTGCCCAGCAAGCTGTTCAACTGCACGGAATTCGACTTTTGAAACAGCTAAGCCATCCCCGAGTTCTCGTCTGACGAACCTAACGACATGTTGACTATTTCAAAATGTGTTGAAATAATTATGTTGTATATTATTAATCATCGTAAGTTGAGAATGCAATGACCGAGCATTTCGAAATGTCTCGACATGACATAATTGAATTCGTAAACATATTGGCTAGGAATTGACAACTGTGATAAAAAAATTGATACATTTCACATATGTGCGATAAAATAACACACGTTTCCAGCGCACTAGATCGAAGGTTAGTTTCGAAAAGTGTTGACATTATCGTGGTGAATTAACGCTAAACACAATGGAATACAGTGAATTTGTGTTTCACAATGTCGCAGGCGTTTAACATGATTCACCAGTTCTTTTCAACAGTCCTTTTCATTTGACCGTGTGGATTCCCAGTGTATCAACGTCCAGAACACACCCTGGTGCTTCCATTATCAGTTTCTATGACACGTTAACACACGGGAAATGAACATGCAGATCCTATTCGAAATTTATTCTAACTATTCATTACTCTAATGAACGCAGAACGTGTGAAATTGATGGACATATAATGTCGCTCCAAAGCTTTGCCCGAGCACGTGAAATACGTTCCTTGACCTGTATTGATGTTACCAGGAAATCAAAATTCTAATATGGCTCCACTATCTATTGTCGATATAAATATAAAGGAAACACCATGATGGAAACACATGCGACACTTCCATACGACAATGTTCATCGATTCCTGCTCCATACAGCTGTTTGTGAATATATATACTCTTAGCAAATGTGGCTGACATATCAAACTTATGGTCGTGCGGCTAGAGAATCCATCAAATACACAACCACTTACACTGACCTTGTCTCCAGACACGTTAACCTGTACACACAACAAACTGACCTTGTCTCCAGACATGTCAACATGTACACACAACAAACTGACCATCTCTCTATCCACGTGTTGGATCTGATTTTACGAAGTTAAAGCTCCCGTTGGCACAACGCCGGGTGATATCCTCCATATATGTATCGTCTCCACTGATGTCCTCATGTGAAGCTGCCCTTCCTCGTCATCCATGGTCCTCCTTGGTACCACTATGGTCCTCACCATGGTCCTCCTTGGTATCGCTATGGTCCTCCATGGCCTCACCCTGGTCCATGGTGGTTTTCATTGTCCTTAATGATCCCACCTCCTTCCTCGATGGTCTCACCATGGTGTTATCTGTTGTAATTCTGGGTATCATTTTGACTCATAATAATCCAATGCGGCCTCACTATAGTTCAATGCTGTCTCACCATGTTCCGTGATGGTTTAAGATTATCAGTCTCATCATGTTCTTAGTTGGTATAATTCTGTAACCATCTGTCCTATAATACTCCAGTGGGGTCTAACATGGCCCTCAATACAGCTATCCTCTCCCTCCAACCTGGTGGCAGATTCGTGGTTAGACCTCTTCAGTAATCTGGTCCCATTTCCAGGAAAGTGATTATTTCTAGGAGGCTTGTTAGTCTTATAACGGCTGTTCCAAGAAGGGGCTGCAACTCTCTGCGGCTGATTGCGCGTAGATCAGAACGGATAGCCTTGATGATGATGATGATGATGATGATGATGATGATGATGATCGAGTAACTAAGGAAATGCTTCTTTCTTCTGTTTCTCTTCGAAATTCGGTATCATTTCTTTTGGCGACTACTAAAATCGTGACTAAGATTAAGATGCCTGTTTCACATTCCATCATCACAAAGAGTAAAACGTAGGACGAGTACTGTCGCCATGTGCACGGAACCATCATGATTCTGTATACAAACCAACAAAACATTCTATAGAGGGACCTATGTTAAAGTCCTGTGCAAGTTTGGACTCATTATCGTCAGTTGATGACGTAATATGACGAAGAACAAGAAGCTGTCAGAAACATTTAAGAAGTTGCATAAGTAAAATGTTTTCAGCAGACAAATAGATCATCAGCATTAAAAGTGAATATTTAAAGCATATTGATGCCTTATACATTCTAGTGCCGTTTTTCGAGGAGATTTGTCTTTGAGGCACACAAGTTGTCCTACAGTGGTGTAAAGCATTACCTTACCAGTGATACGACAAAATCCTCTCTAAACGAACACTGTGATGCGTAATTTTAAGGACAGTGGCATAGTGACCTAACTGTATATTTACCGTTATGTCGTTACAATTGAAGTTAAAGAAATCATGCCACATGTACATGTACACACAACGAAGGACACCGTGACAAGCTACGGTTTAGCAAACCTAACTTCGGATACTTCCGGGAAGCAGACTGAAGGCTATACAACCACCGTTAATAAAAGTGACAAATTCCTTTCCATAATCAATAAGGCATCTCTGCTAGAGCCCATTGTAAGATTCTGACTATAGTATGAGTATGTGTTTATGAAGGACTATCAAAGTGTGATGATACCAGGTGTTCGCGAAGCAGGACGGGGATACACACAAACACGATATGCTGTGTCAACAGCGCATGCTAAATCTTAAAGAACTTTTTTCTTTGGTAGCGAGACACCTTTAACGCTTTAGCATGGTTATGTCATTTGTACTGTTATATTGAACCTATTGCAATCCTGCTTTATCTCGAAAGCCATCAGGAACATATCCAGTTATCGTCGTTCGACACAACCGGTAATACGACGTCGTGCAAATACCTTGTTCTCTTTCGGGGCCATATTGTTACATAGAGAATCTCACCCGAGTGTCTTTTGATATCGAAACGAGTTGATAAAA